ATGCCACGGGCCTGTGCCGGGGTCCCGGTTCTCCCCTGCCCCGGGGGCTGTTGGGTGAGTTCCCTCAGCCCAGCTCCAGCAAAGCCGGTGCAGATGTAGGTGTGGGGCTCCAGCCTTGAGGATCCAAATGCAAATTCAGGTAAATGGCGTGGATGGGTCTGTCTGCATGTCCTGGGTGAAGGCAGGAACCTTCTGAACCCCCCAGCCTCCCGCCAGCAGGTGATTCCATGCAGCCTGAGGAGCGAGTCTGTGCTGACACCAGGATCTGTGCATTTCACTAGATTGATGCCCTGTCGGGCCTGTGAGGCTGAAACAATTCCTCCTTGTTCTCAAGTCTCACTTTGCTGCCCTGCAGTTACCCATAGATGGATTTTGTTTCCTGTGTGAACTTCTGGAATCGAGTGCCCTTACTTGCCTTGTTCAAAGGGGTTTCTGAACTCTTACATCTCCATGGACTCTGATTTTCACTTACAGTTCTTGTGCAATAGAACAAAGCTGGGTTTGCTCTAGGACATCCCTGATGTAAGCGCCAAGGGTATTTCCAGCACTGTTCCTTCATACCAGTAGCTCTTTCTCTGCCTCCGTTTCCAGCAGCAGGAATAAAGCAATTTTTCACTACTCTCTATTTGTACTGACTTGATACGGGACTGAAGTAGCATGTTCATATCACCAAACAAAAGTGCCCCCACTCTGCCTTCCCTGAAAGATCCCAGAAGTGGGAATTCGAGCCTTTGGCTGGTTCTTCTCATTTGCGTGTCTTGGAGTCCTTTGAGTAGTTTGTTCTCACGTCTTGTCCCTGTGAACTGATCCGATGCTCTCTTTATCCAGTCTTCTCTCCCCTGTCCCTTGGTGTCTGTGTCTTCCTGGAGGCTGGCCTTGATGTTGGAAAATGGAGCGAAAGCAGCCAGGAAGGGATCCAGAGCCACCCAGGATCCCCCCTGGTGTGGTCACGTTTGCACAACAGCGGCAAACTACAGCGTAGCGTAGAGTAGAGCAAATAGCCATGGCATGTAGAGAAGTGAGCAACAGCCTTTGTGTGTGTGTCCTGTTGTGCAGTTACGTTTTAAACCTGTTCCTAGTGGTCACTTGACATTTCGTACTGTCCGGCCGCCCTTTTGTAGCCCTTGCCTTGGTGGCCGGTTTGTTGAAAGCATCAGTATCTCATTTTGTGCTAGGATACCTTGGAAAAGTGGTTTCTTCCTTGGCTCCCGTGCCTGCAGCCCCTGTGCACAGCCGTGGTTTTGGCTGCCTTGATGCAGTTGCAGGATTTGGGCCTTTTGTTTGCAATAGGTAAATAGAAGTTTTCAGAGTACCTTGCTTTCAAATGATTAAACTGCATTACAGAGGGGGTGGACGCATTCTGTACTGTTTGTGTAAATTAAGCTGGATGGTCCTCCTCAGAGCTGTCAGTAAATCAGCGCTGAGCCTCCCAGGGTGGTGGCTGCTGCCCCGTCCGTGTGTCTGTGTTCTCGGTACTCCTCACCACCAGATCCGGTTAAGAAGCCGTTCCCGTGAGCTTGTGCTTTAAAGAAAACCTGATTTCGAGCAGCACTTTTTTAAATTGAGAAACTTGATTTGTATATAGGAAATGGTGTACATGGATACGTTTATAATGGTTAATAAATGGGGTTCTGACCATGGACCGTGAAACCAGAGTGCTCCTATGGTTTGTGTCATCGTCTCGAGTGAGCAGTGGGTTTGCGTTACCTTCCCCCCCTGCCTGCAGTCCGAAGATGTGATTGACTTGTGCCCGGAGCTGCAGTTTGTCTTGGTTTGATAGTAAAGCCTCACCTAATTTTATCTGGACACATGAAGATTTTGCTTTCAAAATGCAGAGTAGCACGAGGCTGTTTCAGGTAGATTCCCTGCAGTGAAATGTGTCATCTTGAGGGTGACAATTTGGGTTGGTGCAGGTATTCCTTACAAAAGAAGCGTATAACATCTGAACAAACAGGTCAGTGTGTCTGAAGCCACTAAAACAGGGGAATGGGGGAAAGTAAACATAAGGAAACCAGTGTTTATAGAATCAGAATAGTTAGGGTTGGAAAGGACCTTAAGATCATCCAGTTCCAACCCCTCTGCCACAGGCAGGGACACCTCACACTAAACCATCTCACCCAAGGCTTTGTCCAATCTGGTCTTGAACACTGCCAGGGATGGAGCATTCACAACCTCCCTGGGCAACCCATTCCAGTGCCTCACCACCCTAACAGGAAAGAATTTCCCCTTTAGATCCAATCTAAACTTCCCCTGTTTGTTTTAACCCGTTACCCCTTGTCCTGTCACTCCAGTCCCTAATGAAGAGTCCCTTCCCAGCATCCCCATAGGCCCCCTTCAGGTACTGAAGTTTGACACATGGTGAGTGAAGCCTTGAGCAAACTGATGCGTACAGGCACATCTCCTGGGGCTGGCTGCACCTTGTGTGTTGCTCCCTTCCCAGCAAGCCTCAGTGGAAGGTAACTGGGTGACCTTAATGCAGCGTGTCCCTGGGAACAGTTGAGAGGTGAGGTGAGCTGCACCCGGATCTCCTCAAAGCAGCTGGCTTCGGTTCCAGACTAGAGCAGAGTGAGAGAGTTGAGACAAGGGAGGGAGGAGGTGGGGGGTTCTGGGTGAGGTATGAAGACTAGGGGGGAAATAGGTGACAAAAGCCACTGAATCCATTTGCAAGAGGGAGTCTCATCCCTAAACTGTTCCAGCTGCAGAAAAATGTGGCTAAAAATACGTGTAAACTGTCACAACCATCTGTATTAATTCAGCATTGTGTTTTTCATTTCAGGAGAAGAAAGGGAAGGTGTAAGAAGCTCAAGGTATTGTCTACTCTGATAGAGTAGCAGTGAATGGCTGAGGGCTGCTTATTCATTTCCAGAAGTTAAAGGTTTTAAGAAGTTAAGTGTTAAGGAAGCATTCCTGCTCAGTCCATGTGCTGGTTCCAGTGTGTTGGTGTGTTCTCAGCAGAGGTTCTTTAGCCAGCCCTTCTGTTTGAGGTAACCATATAAAGCGCAGTGAAAACTGGAATCGTTTGGGAGGTGGCATTGAAACCTTGGTGATGAGACCATGGGCCCACACTGGGGTTTCAGTGGTTGAAAAGGGACAAGTAAGGGCCTGGTTTTCTGTTCAGTTTTGGACCTCAGATTTGTGTTTAGTGACAATAATTAAAGAGGATTCCTCTGCCTTCCAAGGATGCTTAAATGCATCCTGCACCGTTTGCAAGGCTATATAAAAATAACCCAAACAGGGAATATCCCTCACATGAAGAGTATCATTCGCAGTGGTGCTTGGACACACTATTACACTCCTTGTTTCCTTTTTAGTTCTTCAGCAAACAGCTAGAACAGCGTTATGCTCATGTTTAATGTCTGCTGTTCCCCCGGTGAGGCGGGACAGTTCCTCATCAGACACAGGCTGCACAATTTCTGTTCAAGACGAGTTTATAAGCCACACATGCCAGGTTGTTCGTTCCAGTGCAGTTCCTGTGCAGGTGATGCAGTTCCACTCGCTGTGTAACCACCGTTGTTACAATAAACCTTGAGAAAGATGTTTTCTCTTGGATTAGGTGTCGTTATTTGAGTCGTTTCTGAAATCCCTGTAGCTTTGAGAGGTGAGGAAGGTGAAAGAGCTTTCTACAAGAGACCCAAAGACTCTTGGGAAACCTGCCCTTTGGTTATTCATTAAATAGTACAGAAACTGGTTTGAGGTCTTAAATTTTAATGATGCGTGGTACATGAGCCAAGAGCTTAAAGCATCATTAGTAGCAGGGAAAAGGTTAGGGGAATATAGGTATGTAATGTATATTGTTCTAGTATTTATGCTGCCTATAAACTAAGTAAATGGTTCATATGCACTGTTTAGCTCATATTTAATAACCTTAAATCTTCAACTGTTGTTCCTAATAGCAGTCATTCTGTGGTGATTTCTCCCATGTGTTTCTCCCAACAAATTCCTGGACTCCGTTTTAATAACACTTTTAAACTGGTTTTCCCCAAAGCTTATGCAGGCCTTAAAGAGGCCTGACTGAGGTGGTCACTGCTGGGAAGCGTGCAGGTTAATCTGCTGCCAGTAGTGAGCATGTGAATGACTTTGCAGTGCAGTGCTTCTTGTCAGGCTTTCAAAGAGGCTTAGCAAGAGATTGAGGGGCAGGTCAGTGCTGTTTGCTCAGGGGCCTTTCGGGGGGTGTGTGTGTGTGTGTATTTAGCCAGCAGTGACCCTGTTGCTCCCGCTGCAGCTCTAACAGTGGGACGGGCCTTTGGGGTTGTAGCTGGGGTGGAAGTTGAGGCGGTCATGGGCGGTGATGAAGTTGTCCGGACCCGTGACATAGCTCTTCTCCAGGGCCGTGTTGAGCCCACTGTTCCTGTACGGGCCCCCCATGCCTTGGATCCTCGTAAAGCCGTGTGGGGTGACATGGAAGGAGGTCTGGGGGGCGAACAGAGGGGAGAGGTTCTCAATGCCACCATCAGCAGCGCCTGGGCTCAAGCGCACACTGACGGGCCCTGCTGAGCCCCACGTCCTCCTCCTCGGGGCTGCTCTCCCCCAGCATCCCCTTGTGCTCGGGGCTGCCCCAGCCCCCGGCGGTCCCCAACCCTACCGGCACCTCGTGCACCGTGGGGGCCCTGCTGCCGTACGTCTGGTTCGTGGTGCGGTACCGCGGGTGAGGCTCCGGCTTCCTGCGGGGACAGAGCGGGGTTGGAGCGGGGCTGGAGCGGGGCCGGGGCCGCGCGGGGCCGGGCGCGGGGGGCTCACCCGTAGCCGCAGAGGCGGTCTGGCTGCGGGAAGCGGCCGGGCAGGCTGGCGCTGCTGCGGGGCCCGGCGCCCGCAGGCACGGACATGGCGCAGGGACGGGACCGGGACGCGGAGCCGAGCGTTGCCCGGAGACGGGACGCTGCGGGCGGGGCCGCGATGGCTCCGCGCCCCGCCCCGGGGATCGCCCCGCCCCGGCCCGGGAAGCGGAAGGCGCCGCTTGACCTTCATCCTCCTCCTCCTCCTCCTGCTGCAGCTGCAGCCGCTCCCGGCGCGGCGGGCTCGGAGCATGGCGGTGCCGCGGCTCCTGCGGGCAGGTGAGCGGGTCCCGTCCGGCTCCCGGCCCGCCCCCCGCCCGCCTCACCCCGCCTCACCCCGCGTTCTCTCCCCACAGCAGCCCCCCGGCTCTACAGCAGCATCGCGGCCCTGGCCCCGGCGCCCAGCCCGGCCCAGCCCCGCGGTGAGTGATGCCGCGCACCTGCGGGACCCTCGCCGGTGCCGCCAGGCCCCTGGGGTTGGGGGTGCATCAGCGCCCTTCGCATCCCCTGCAGACGCAACGCGGGACCGGCTCCTTACTGGGGTTTCTCTCTCTCAGCCGCGGATGAGAAGCTGCTCTCCGGGCCCCTCGCGCACCCCGACTTCTTCAACGTGAAGGAGCTCTTCTCCCTGAAAGATCTCTTCGATGCGCGGGTGCACCTGGGGCACAAGAAGGGATGTCGGCATCGGTGAGTGAAGCAGGAGGCTGCCCCGGGCTGTGTGCACTGGGTGGGTCTGGAACTGCCCGTGGAGACCCTCATATCCGCATGGGCTTGTACAGGGACCGTGCCCAGTGTGAGCCCTGCAGCCCCAAGCCCTGGTGGGACGCGCTGTGTGCAGCTCTGCAGAGAGCTCCTCTGGCGTCACTGGGGTTGGAGGCTGGGAAGGGTTCCACGGTGAGGCTGCGCCACATCCAGGCTGCTCGGTGCCCGCATCACCCCGTCCCTGCACCCCCTTGTGTCCTCCCTCTGCCCCCGCAGGTTCATGGAGCCCTACATCTTCGGCTGCCGCCTGGACCAGGACATCATCGACCTGGACCAGACGATGGAGCACCTGCAGCTCGCCCTCAACTTCACCGCGCACATCGCCTACCGCAAGGGCATCATCCTCTTCATCAGCCGCAAGCGCCAGTTCTGCCACTTGGTGGAGAGCACGGCGCGGGCCTGCGGGGAGTACGCGCACACGCGGTACTGGCAGGGCGGGCTGCTCACCAACGCGCACATCCAGTTCGGCGCCGGCGTGCGCCTGCCCGACCTCATCATCTTCCTCAGCAGCCTCAACAACGTCTTCCAGCCGCACGTGGCCATCCGGGACGCGGCCAAGATGAACATCCCCACGGTGGGGGTGGTGGACACGAACTGCAACCCCTGCTTGATCACGTACCCCATCCCAGGCAATGACGACAGCCCCAGTGCCATGGAGCTGTACTGCAAGCTCTTCAGGATGACCATCATCCGCGCCAAGGACAAGAGGCGGCACAGCGAGGCCGTGCGTGAGCTGCAGAGGAAAGCGGAGGGCAATTAGAGCCTGTGGGATGGTGCCCAGCGGGGTGGTGATGGGCGTCCTGCACCCGGAGCACAGGATTTTGGCAGGGCTCTGGTGCTGTGCAGAGGCCCCGCAGTGATCCCAGCTCAAACAGAAATGGTCCAGAGCGATGTGAGGGGGTGGGAGCCAGACCAGGGCCAGCTCCTGTCCGTGTGTGTCCCTATTGCACGGAGGCACCTCTGTGAGTGTGTGATCACTTGTGTTTCATGCTCCGTCCTGATGAATAAAGGGCTTCACAATCTTTCTTGTCTTCTTGTGAAACGGGGGCCTGTGGCCAGTGTTTATGGCCAAGGAAGGGGGGTGAAGGTTGTTCCCACCCCGGGAGCACACAGAGGGGAGCAGGAGGGGAGGTGGCACATCCCAGCGCTGGAGGGTCCCTGCTTTACCCCAGGGCATCTCGGGGTCCAACCTCAGCCACAGCCATGGCGAATGGCGGGGCCCCAGAGTGCGGCCGGGAAAGGGAGCTCCAGGCGCTGACACACGGGTGTGCGGTCCGGGATCCCGGTCCCGTATCCCCATCCCAGCCCCCGGGCCCCATCCCGGTCCCCCATCTTCATCCGGGTCCTCGGGCCGGCCGCTCCCGCTCCGAGTCATCCTGGCCAGCAGCGGGCGCTCTCGGGAGCCGCTCTCAGGGCGCGGCCCTTCCGCCCCCCCCGCCCTATATAAGCGGAAGGCGGGGGCGCTGCGGCCTTTTCGCCGTGGGGCCGCGATGGCGGCGGGGGCGGAGCGGGGCGGCCGCGGGGGCTGCGCTCACCCGGGCAGGGCTGGGCCCCTCCGAGCCCCTTCCCCGGCGGAGGGCGGCGGGAGGCTCCGGTGCAGGGGATGGGGATGATGATGGCGGTGATGATGATGATGATGATGATGGCGATGAGGAGGGCGCGCCGGAGGTACGGGGGTGCCGCTCCTGTGTGCACCCGGGGCCGCGTGCTTGGCGCTGCCCGCGGGGAGCCGGGGCTTGGTCCCTGCTCGCTCCCCCGCCCCGGGGTGCAGGGATCGGAGGGGAGAGAACGTGCCCGGCCCCGTGGCCGGGGAGAGCCGCGGCTGCCCGGGCAGCGCTGGGCTGGGTACGGGCACGGGCACGGGCACGGGTAGGGGCAGAGCCGTGCTCCCGTGGAGGGTGGCGAGCAGCGGGGCTGCCGCTGTTAACGGCTCCCGGCGAGCTGAGTAGCCCTGGACGTGCGCAGGAAGCGGCGCTGGTACTGCTGCGGGTTGATCTTGGGCTGCGTGAGGGGGCAGGTCACGGAGTTGTTATACACACAGCAGTTAGCTGCTAATCTGTGATGAGCTGGTATTGCCGAGGCCTTCATTAACATCCCTTTTCTTGCCCTCCTTCAGCCTGGCGGAAGACAAAGGGTGAAGTGAGAAAGGTTTGCGCGTCCTGAGAAGCCAGAGGTAAGTGGTGCTTAACGCAGAGACCTGCACCCTTCTGTTAATGCTCTGATGTACTGCGTTTAGTGTGTCCACGTGCACCAGATCCCGCTGTAACGCTACCGAGTAGGTGATGCTGTTCTACAAACGCGTGTGTTATCCCTTCAGTCCCTGTGGCGTTCCCTTCCTGCCACCAGAGGCGTTGCGAAGGTGGCTGCGGTGGCACCTTCGTGTCATGAGGTGGCGGAGAGCGACAGGCTGTGTTCTACGCTCGTTTGCTCCCGGACCCGTGGGCATTCAGAGTGATTGATGGCCTGACATGGTTTATAAACGGGGTTTAATTACCTGAAATGCGAGTAATTGCCCTAATGTGAGAGCTCGGTGTAAGGATACAAGGCTGCTGTGTGTGACCTGTAGTGGGTCTGCAGCAGAAGACCCACTGTGTGTGGCTTTTGTTTAGCCTTAAAATGGGTAGAATGCTGTGGGGTTATGAAATAACCACATGTGCCTAAACCCTGCCTGTGCTGAGCATTGGTTTCTTTAGCTTCCTTTTCCTGCTGTACCTTCCAAGCTTGTGTTACCAGTGCAACAGAGCCCTTCGGACCAGGCTCTGAGGTGTGTCTGGGTACACAAGTGAGCGATGTGTGCATTTCCCTTTGCAGAGGAAGCTGCAGGACCTGGCTGACGGGAGGAGGGCTCCTGCAGGACCCGAGGTGAGCAGCAGTGGGTGCCGTTGAACAGCCCCATGCCCCAGCTCGTGTTGCAGACGCGGCTGTAGTGCCTTGTTTGTGTCATTAGGTGGCAGAGAGGAAGAGGCTGTGTCTGTGCTGGGGCTCTGGAACCTGTGAGCACCCAGGAATGATGAGCAGCCTGACACTTGGTTCCTGGTTTTCCTGTGGTTTTTCCTTGAATGTTAAGTGTTTCAATGGTGAATAATGGACAACTCTGGAGGGACAGGGTGCAGAAGGGCTGCCCTCCACTGTGACACTAATTCTCTTCATGACAATATAATCTTACGTGACAGATAAGGGTACCTTTTATACTGTCAGATTCTGTGCTTTAGAAGTGAACCTGTTTTACTAACCTGCTCTGTTAAAATCTAATTCAGGTTTGTTGTATATCATTTATTGTTAGGAATAGCAGACTCCAGTATTCTCTAATAGCCCTGAGTCCTTGGAGGTTTGCTTTCCTGACATGTTGGTATCATTAGGAGTCAGAGGTGAAGAGCTTTCCTGTGCCAGAAGCTTGTAACTACTCAGCTCAGTAGCTTGACATTGCTGCTGCATTTACCTCTTTCTCCAGAGAACCAGCAGAATATGGAGCAAAATTCCTTAGAAAAGCAGTTTAAATGATGCCAATTTTAACTGCATCAGGGGAAGGTCCTTTTGGGTTTTGCAAGGACAAGCAGAAGTGACAGCTGCTGTCTTGAATTCTCTTTTTGCTTTCAGCAGCTCCTTATGGCCTGCAAGACACTCTTGCTTGCTGTCTGTTCTGGTGGTGAAAAGACACCTGGAGTTCAGCAGGGTTTATTTAGTGTTATGTAGATACCAAGAATCACACCTGGGCGTGGAAGGGATGGGGGAAACAGGCTTTTGAGTTTGGTGTTTTCAAAGGATTGATGTAGATAGAAAACCAGTTTGGTGTGGATTTAGCAGGTGCTGGAAACCATGCCTTGCTCCTAATGTTAACTCACCAGCTCCTCACTCCTTCCTCAAAACCCAAACTAAAGGTGTTTTTCCTCCTCACAGTTACAGCTGAGAGCAGGGCTGACTTCTGGAACTTGCTTCAACTGCTGCAGGTAGGTGTGGCATCACTTGGAAACCCACTGGGCCGCAGTGGTGTCTGGTAGGATCCTAGGGGTGGTACATCCTGTCCTTACGGGACAGGGACAAATGAAACCAAGTAAAATAACAGTACCAGTGTAGAGTTGGAGAAAGCCTGAATTCAGTAGTTTGGCATCTTTTTCTGTTGGAAAAACCTGCTTCAGGTGGCGCGCGCCCAGGTTCCTCTGCTTTGCTAATGCAGCAGTTTTTGTAAGCAACCTTTAACGCTCTTCACCTTTTCATTTCACTTAAACTGCCTTCCTCAGCTCCCCAGGAGCATCCTTTTAAAGGCAACTGTCAGTAGAAGAAGACACTTCTGTTAAAAGCTTCCGGTTTTGCGTGTTGAAGTGCCTGAGATAATGAAGATGGGTTCTGGTGCTATTGTAGTCCGACACGAAACGCTGCTGAAAACATGCTCATGTCTCATATGCAAGATAATGAGAGATTGTGTCTTAGGCATAATGAAAGAAAAAGCTTGATTTTAGTAATAAAGCAACAAATTGATGCGAAAACCTGAAGTCCTTTAAGTGGTGAGAACAGCTCTGGCCACGTGCGGTGCTGCAAAACCGAGAGGCTTCGCAGTGACTAATGGCTTGACAAAACCTGGCAGTGCTGGGTGGTGGAAAATGTCCTCATTAAATGGGCATTAGAGGGCCAGAGGTGCCATTAACCAAGTGGGCTGCTGCTGGCTGCAAAATGAGCCATTTAATTGGGAAAAGGCAGTGCCTACCAGCAGCGGCTTTGGGAAGAATGCTAATAAGGTGGTTGGGGATATGCTCTGCAAAGAGCCATGCCCCAAGATGGGACTCTTCTATTTAAATACCCTGACTTCTAACCCGAAACACACATTTGGGTTATTTCTGCTCAGGCTTTGCTTGCATCAAGGGTCCTGTAGCAGTAGTGAGTGCCAAATGAGTGTCTCTCCAGAGCTTTACTGTGTGAGGCATGGGAGAGCTATTAAAATGCTCCTAACAGCATTTGCTGTGAACCGTCTTCCCCACCCTGAGCAGCAATCCCAGGCTATGAATATTGCTTTACTGAAAGAGCTGCCTGGCTCTCAGCTGTGGAAAAGGTATTTTGCATTAAAGTGGCATTGAGAGGAATGAAAAGTCTTTGTGCACATTAACTTAGCCCTGCATCATTAGAACTGGTTTATGCCCTGGCTTTGAAGGCTGGAATAAGCCCAGCTCTTCTCTCTGCACTATGAATGTTGCCTCTGCAGGCAAACTCCCCTTTGATTTTTAGGGAGCCCATGAGGGAAAGAAGAACCATGAGCAGGCTCTGGCTGTGCTGTTAAATTCCCCCCCTTCCTGGACTCACCAGAGTGCGCTGCCAAGCCAGGAGATGCTTTTCAAATCCTTTGTTCTAGTGTCAAAGAACCTGTCCTAAATGAGGCTGATTTATTATCATCTGCCTCCTGTCACTGCTTCGGGTCCTGATCCACTGGGGTTTGCAGGCACTTGCCTTCCCCTGACTGCAGTGGTAGGGTGTTTGGAGATGCTGGAGTCTGGTGCTTGAAGCTTCCCTGTGAATCGTGACAACCCAGCCCAGCTGATGACTGCCCTCAGACTTGGTTTCGTTTCATGAAGCTTTTATTGGTTCCTCTGGGATGGGAAAGTGTTTGGGCAGTCTCAAGACAAACCTGATGTAATGCTTGTCAGCTGAATTAGAGCAGTTCTGTGTCCTGAGGAGCTGCAGTGACCAGCAGGAGCCTGGATGCATTAATCAGCTGCTTGCTGTTGACCTCTGCTGCAGTTGGAGTTGTCTCACACCCTGCGCCTTCTCTTGTTTGCAGATCATGCCTTGAGGTTTGGAACTCCAGCAGACCCAGCTGCAGGAGAACTGGGCCGTGGTGTCTGCAGTGAGGATCTGTAGGGTGCTGAAACTTCATCTTCTCAACGTGGGTTCAAGCTCACAGCAGCCAAAGTGTGCGGTGATGCTGCTGGTTCCGAGTGCTGCCTGCAACCTGCATGCTCGGATGTTGAAGAGAAATGATTGTTCTGTTCCCAGTGTCCTTCCTTGCCTTTGCTGTGCTGCTGGTGACTAGCTCCCAGAGCTGTAACCTTGTCCCTCTCCCACTCATCTCTCTCCTGAGCTGTTTCCACATTCTGAAGCACTCTGCTTTCAGTCTGTGTTTTCCCTGCATGGTAAGAAGGGTTATAAAAAACCCCAAACAACTAAATAAAGATGCCACCTCCAGTGAGCCTGGAATGTGTGTTTGTAGCACCTCAAGTAATACCTTCTTCTTAACCATTCTAGCATAGAAGACTTTATTTGCGGCTCTGAGAAGTGGGATGGCTTCTTTAAACAGTGACAGATAGAAGCCTTGCTGCTGACCTCCAGCCCCTTGTGGCTCAAATCTATGCTGCTAAAGCAGCTGAGATGGGATTGTCACTCTTCCAGTGTTCTGCTTTTCCTCTTTTTCCCAGCTAATGTGGGAAAGCTGGAGCAGGCCCCAGTGTGGAATAGCTTTGCCTTTAGTCATTTCTCACCCGTATTGTGGTGTAGCTTGTAAACGATGAGCACATGTGTGAAAACATTCGTGCTTTGTATTAGTGATGAACTGAAGCCTCTGTTCTTGGGGTGTGAGCTCTGAGGGATTCCTGGGAGTGTGTCCACTGCTGTGTGGATTAATCACACAGGAATGTGGCAGCTCCCATTGGAGGTGTCTGAATAAGCTGCCTTGGAGAGTTCTGCAAGCACAGGGGCTGTCTTTCTCCTTGAACTTGGTACTTTCAGAAATTCTGGAATCTAGGGTCTCATAGGTAAATGAGGACCATGGTGGTTTTCCTCTGCTTTTCTAGGTGCTCATGGGCTTTATCTACCCCTGCTTTGGGGGCAGGGAGTCGTAAAGTGCCAACAGAGCAGGGGTGGTGAATTGCTTTCCCAAACACCTGAGGGGAGGATTTGGAGTGGGTGTTGAGTTCCTTTTTCTAATAGAAGGAAATGATTTCTCTGGAGCTGGTTGCTATGGGAGTGCAGGACCAGAGATGAGGAGCTCGGGCGGCTCCATGGAGCCGCATCACCCAATTCCAGTCCCCTCATTCACCTTCCACCCAGCGTTCCTGTTCCACACAGGTGACACTGGGTGCCCTAATGCCTGGAGGTGGGGCCTTGGTCATGCTTGTGTCTCCTGAATTAACTGAGGAACTCACCCCACTTCAAACAAACCCCACAAGAGCTCATCCTGACCACAGCTGAGTGATGCTGCCCAGCCAGCCCCTCTGGGAAGCTGCACCAGCACTGAGTGTGGCTGACGCTGAAACATTCCCTCCATAAATAACAGTGAGAGGGAAGGATGATCCTATGGAATGAATAGAAGGGAAAACTGGTGTATCTCTTCCAAAGGGCCCATAAATCTGCAGCTGTGACACCAGCACTCGCACAGGGGAGGTGCTGTCAGATGTACTTCCTTTGTGACTGTACTTCAGCTATATGCCCCACTTCAGTAGGCAGTTGGTGAGAGCACTGCCATGTGGTATATGGCATATTCCTGTCAGCAGGCATATGACTGAGTGAGCTTGGGGTAGGTCACACAAATTCCTCCTCTCTACGCCCAGGTTTCAAAGGTTGCTATAATTGAGTGTTTAAAGGAAACAGACTATAGAGCCCTGGTAACATCTACACAGGCAACCAAGTGTCTGGAAGCCTGCTGCAACCTTGCCTGCGGATTCATTTTAATGCTTTAAGCTATTCTTGGCTTTAGATGCTTCCAAAGCCAGACCGTGTGAGAGGGAATGGCCTGTGCTGCCAATTCCAGGCTGCGGGCAGGAGCTGGTGGGAGCCTGGCACAAGCCACCACATCCCTGTCTGGGGTCAGGCACTTCAGAAGGAATGGTGGAACTGCCAGGCCTCGCTGCTGATCTGCTTCCTAAGCCACAGCTGGATCTGGAGGCAGATGACTCAGACACTCTAGGAGATGCTTTTGGATGGGGAAATTACCTTCCCCTCCTTTCCAGCTCGCGGGCAGGCTCGTGCTGAGGCTGCTGCGTCGCTACTGATGTGCTGGTGCGATTCACGTAAAAGCCATTTATTTACATCAGAGACGTTCATCAAAAGATGATGTGACAAGAACAGCACGAATGATTCACTCTCATCTCGGCGCTGCTTTCCTGTTAATCAAGGACCAGTTTGATGTCTCCAGCTGGGCTCCGCTTCCTCCTCGCTTTCCATCTCATCTTCCTCCCCCAAGCTCAGCCCGGCCCCGCTGTCCCGGCTCCGCAGCACGCTCCTGCCGGCTCGATGGGTGATCCCGATGATCCTGCTGGGCGGTGGAAGTCATGACGCTTGGTTTTCCGCGAGGGAGAAGGGGCTGCAGCTATGCTCAACTCCCTGCGCAGGGGGTATTTGCCTGTGGGGGAGAGGATGGAGAAACAGGCCTTCAGCCCTTGCACTCAGCTCTGAGATCGTGGATTCGAAACTCCAGGGCCGTGCTCCCCCTCCCCGTTAGGAGTATTTGGTGTTGGAAATCTTCTTCCAGAGCAAGGTCTTGAGGTTGTTGAGCACGAGGGAGTGGTGCACCTCCATCTGGCTGGCCAGGCCGCTGAGGGTCATGCACGTTCGGAGCTGCTTCTGCAGCTCCTCCTTCAGCTCCAGCGGTGCCCCGTACAGCAAATAGTCCTGCAGCAGCCCGCACACCTTGGCCAGGTTGGGCTGCACCACGTCGCTCTTGCACTGCTTCAGGAGCTTGTCGCACGTGGCCGTGCAGTCCTTCCCGTAGGTGCAGTCCCCGTTCTGCTCGCAGTGCCGGCCCTTGAGGAAGCCTCGGATCGTCATCTCCGTCGCCACCTTCCGCAGGTTGACCATCTTGAAGTCGTACTTGTCGTTGTAGCCCACGTTGCTCACGCTGGCCTCGCAGATGTAGAAGTTCCCGTAGGTGCCGTGGAAGATCTCCTCCACGAACTCCAGGAGGCCAATGGAGATCTTTGCCCGCCGGGGCCACGCTGGTGCGAACCACTGGTGGATGATCTGGTGCACGACCGAAGGCAGCAGCGGCTGGAGGAAGGGGGGAACGTCCACCCCATAGAGGGAGGTGTGGGGGATCTTCTCGGTGACGTAGAGGTCCCCGCAGTGCCCCAGCAGTTTGGAAGTGTGCTCTTTCTCATGCAAGGAGAACATGAGCAGGAACTCATTGAGCTGAAGGAGAGCCCAGATGGATTTGGCCTCTGCTAAAGACACTTTCCCGTCCCGGTTCACGTCCGCCATGCCGATGATCCGGCTCACCAGGCCTGCAAGAGAAGGCTGATCTCCCAGCTTGGACTGTGAACAGAACCAGAACAGAACAAGCGGCATCAGACCCCTGCAGCTCTCCATGTTCAGGCTTCACATCACTAAACTGAGCTGGGGAGGCAAAGAACTGAGCTTGGGAGAGGAGGGAACAGCCACCCTGCTCATACGAGCTCGGTACCACACCACTGGGTAGGGTTGGATCAATTCACCCCCAGCAGAATTTCACCAGCATCAGGGCTGCACTAGACCCAGATGGGAAGAAGCTTCCAGGCTGAGAGCTGGGCTGGGTCAGCCTGGAGAAGAGAAGGCTCCTGAAGGGGAGACCTTAGAGCAGCTCCAGTGCCTAAAGGGGCTACAGGGAACCTGGAGAGGGGCTTTGGACAAGGGCCTGTAGGGACAGGACAAAGGGAATGGCTTTAACCTGCCCGAGGGGAGACTGAGATGAGCTCTTAGGCAGAAGCTCTTCCCTGTGAGGGTGCTGAGGCGCTGGCACAGGGTGCCCAGAGAAGCTGTGAATCAGAGGCACCGTCTGTCCCTGTCCCCACCACTGCCTGCACTGGGGCCAGCCCATTCCTCAGGGAGCCCCATAGCTGCAGGACACGAAGAGGAGCCCTGCCTGGCACCCAGCACCAGTGGGGAAGCATGGGCCCGAGGAGCTCTCATTCAATGGGAACAAAAGACACTATGAGCCTTTCCAAATGGCATCCCGGAGGGACTCGGGCACTGACCTTTAGGAAGTTGAGCAGCATTTCTTTGAACTCATCCATCGACGTCCCTCGTGTCGGCTTGTCGAAGAGGACCACGTCCCTCCTGGGCACAGAGTCCGGGTGCCCATCTGCCTTCAAGGCTTCCTCGATGCCGCATTTGATGATCACCTCCGTCTCCCTCCAGAGCCCGCTGTAAACCTGCAGCAATGGCAAAGGGACACACTGAGATGGGAGAAAACAGCGAGCGCAGAGAACTTGGTTCTGCTCCAGTCTGGGACCGGTACAGGGACTGGGTGAGGACATTTCCCAGACTGAAGCTTGCTCCCATCCCCAGCCCTGTGGTGGCTTTCTAGGCAGGGCAGGCACCTACCTGCTGGGTGGGAGAGGAGGAGAGGCAGTGCTGAAAGAGGAGGCTGCGCTCCTCACACAGGTCCTTGCACGTGGAGCCAGAAATGATTCCTTTCTTGTACTGGTCACACTGGGGAGGGGAAGGCAAAGAAAGGAGCTCAGCAGGGGCAGATCCCTGCTCACCCGATAGATCCAGGCCCATCCGCACAGCTTGTGATGTGCAGCCCCCCAAGCACACGAACTGGGGGCGCATGAACCCCCCTCATCCTGTCACCAGCCCCGTGCCCGTTGCCTGCCGTGCCCAAACCCCTCAGGGGCTCTGATCCGGCTGCTGGAGCTGCTGGAGGCAGCCCTGGGCAGGAGAGGCTGCAGCTTTCCAAGAGCCTCAGGGCTGGAAGCGGGAGCTGCAGTAATTCACTGCATCTCCCCCTTTCATGTATCCCTGACATGACAGGAATTAACCCCTGGACCTGCTCACAGGGGACTCGGCGTCTGCAACCCCCAGCTCAGAGCAGGAGCTAGCGTCCAAGACCCCGTGGTCAGAGTCATGCAGGAAATCAAATCAAACGATCATGCCTGTTGTTATGGCAATTCCTGCCTCCCTTCCCTGCGGAAGGACGGACGAGCCAGGCATTTCACACAGAGCCATGGGCCTGGCAGGCTGTGTGACCTGCTCCCTGCCATGGGGCACACTCAGCACCCTGCTCCTGCACCCCACTGCAAACCTGAGGCAGGGGCAAAACGCACCAAGCCAAGCTCCCTGCTCTTTGTGCAGCTCCTGCTTTCCTTAGGGCACAAGAGCAGTGCCAGGGGTACCCACAGACTGGCTGCTCCCCTTTCCTCCTGGCTCTGCTCTGGGGTCCAGCACGATGCTCTCCCTGAATGGGGATCTACTCGCTGCCCTCACGTTGCAGCTTCA